TATAATTTGTAATAAAATTCATTTATAAATATATTAATTCGTTAATATATGAAGCAGATTTTCAGCTGCTTAAATTAAATTGGCTAACCTAAGCATCCCCTATTACTGAGTTCATCAATCACAACAAGGGTTATACATTTTATACCAAGCCTAAGTTGTTAGGACAATTGAGGAAACATACAATATACAAACTTAAAAGTTGCATTACTTATGTATAGAAAAGTATTATATAGGATTTTAGGGACCATAATTAAACAAATATTTTTTCAGATAATTTTTTTGAGATTATAAACTACCTACAATGAAATTATTAACTAATTCTGAATTATAAACTAAAAATTAAAGCTACATATATATACACACACACACATGTACATATGTAAACACATGCTATTTACACATTGCTTTTTGAATTGCCTTTTTGTGATCAACACTTCCATAATCTTATGGTAGCACCACCAAGAGTAGTTTACTATCAGAAGTCTTACCTGGACCGGCATTTTTAGATAATTTTCGTATATATTCCAAAAGTTGTTGATGAATGCTAGGTATTAAAATGTAATAAATAAAATTACTATTTTAACACTGATATTATAAAAAACATTTACCAAATGTATTAAGTTCTTAGAGTATTTCAGACAATATCAGAGCTAATATCAGAACATTACTTATTCCATAGACTTTAAGTTTGTTAGCTCTATGAACTTACTAAGTTTCTAATTAAAGAAGAATTAAAGTAAGATGAAATAGTCATGAATTGAGGGCAGTATAACTCAGTAAATTAACTACAGTTAGCTTGGCTTAATGGAAAATGTCCCTAACTCAGAAAAAGTCCTAGCATGTTACCAATAGGTACTTTTTGTTGAACAAGCTGCTTCTCTTAGGCTCAATGTCTTCTAAAAATGAGGATTTTAGAGCCTCATTTCGCTAGGTTATTATAAAGATTTAACAAGATAACATTTTTAAAATGCTCAAAGAAATAGTGAAGCAATGAAATAATTTGTTCTTGAACCTTATTGCTGAAACTATTTTAAAATTCCCAATAAAACCCAATGTGTTGGCCCGGTGTAGTATCTCATGCCTGTGATGCAAGCACTTTGGGATACTGAGACAGGAGGATTGCTTGAGCCCAGAAGTTCAAGACCAGCCTGGGCAACAAGGGAAGACCGTGTCTCTACAAAAAATAAATTTAATTTTTTTAAAAAAGTGTTTCTTCATAGGTTATAATGTTCAAATATTGCAGTTTTCTGTTATTAATTCCTACTTTTGGTTATTAGATGTTCTAGTCTCTGTGGCTTGTAATTCAAGGCATCTAAGCTATTTTATAATTTGTAATGAAATGTATTTATAAATATATTAATTCATCAAATTGGATAACCTGATTATCCTCTATTACTGAGCTCATCAGTCACACCAAGGGCAGAAAACTAATAGATGTCAGCATCTGGCTTGGACTACTACTACTCTTTATCTACCTCCTTAAACTTGAACTAACAAATCTTTGTTAAAATGAGGCTTAGTCACTATGTTCATTTCCAGCTGCTGTGGAAGACAAAACCCTACCACTATTTTTTGCAAGTTCCACAAAAAAAATGCAAGTTGTTACTTTCTCATTTCTGAGATACCTACTTACAACATATTTGCACAGAAGATCCTATGTGTTACTCACCACATCTCATTTCATACATCACCTTACATAAATATTTTTTGTATGAAAATCACAACTGCAATACTTGGTGTCACGCATTTTGCTTTGACTCACACCGTTTCCTTGGAGCTAGTTAGAAAGTAGTCAAACGTCCTTTTGGGGACTGCAAGAAATATGCAACACTTCACAGATTTGTGTGCCATCCTTGTGCAGGGACCATGCTGATCTTCTCGACATTGTTTCAATTTTAGTATATGTACCACTGAAGCCAGAACAGATCCCAACTTTTACACATGAAGACTGATCAGTGATGGATGAGGCTTAGCTCTGTTAAATCTAACTAACTTACTTGAGATAGAGTGAAGTCTATTGAATGGCTTCATGGTAATGCAGAATTTGAAAAATATTTTAAAAACTCGAGATAGAGATGCAAGTAGCATGGGAGATTTTTGCTTTTAGGAAAAAAGAATCACTTGAGGGGACAACTACAAGTTGGAACCGACTACAAATTTGGAAAGATGACATAGGATCTTACAGAATAAGATGAGGCCTTCCACTACCTATAAAATGGTGCCTCACAGGATATAAATTGCCAGGGATATAGATCTGGTAACAAAATAAAAATAGATCTCTAATTTATTCCTGTAACATTATTTCAACCTGTCTTACAGTTTTAAACTATCACAATTAATATTTGCTAGAGAAAATAGAAAAAAGTCATTCAAAGGATAACTTACCATGAAGGTCTAGGCCAAGTCCAGGCTAAGATGTGGGTTTCACATCAGGTTTTGAGTGGGAGGAGAAGGGTCAATTTGATCACTATGTGGGTGGCTAAAGTTAAAAGTCCTAGCTGCCAGAGCAGGGTGCTGGTACTTTGGAAATAATGGCTGAGAATATGTATGTGAACTTTAGAAAACTAATGACTTTGAAATCTACATATGGATCACCATAAAGGCTGAGGGATCTATGTCAGTAAGGTCGCAAAAGTCAATCATTACCAGACTGCAGGAGCAGTTTCAATGGCAATGATGCAGCAACAGAATTAATGGAAACAACAAAATTCCTACTTTTATACATGAAGACTGGTCAATGATGGATGAGGCTGAACTCTGTTAAATCTAACCAACTTACTTAGGATATAGCGATTTCCACCTCCAATCCTTTTGACTTACACAAAAAGAATGTCTTCTTTGGACTTAGGGAACCCTTTGGATTTTTTTTTTTTTTTTAAATTCAAGTATTTAGATATGGAAGACAGCCCCTAGGGGACACTATCAGGTTTTCTGCTAAAGTGGACATTTCAAGACCCAAATAACTAATTAGAAAAATCAACTAGACAACATTAGGGATAAAGTTGTTGAAAGTCCTTAAATAAAGAATCTTGGACACGATACTCCTAACTAGTCTAGCTTTTTGCCTAGTTTCTGGCTGATGAAGTGAACTAACTCACATTCAAAAACTACCTGAAACAAACTATAAAATCTCACCTAGCCTCTAAATGTAAACACTTACTGATCAAATCCACAAGCAATAGCATAACGTACTGCAGTCATTCCACACGTATCTTCAGCAAAGACGTCAACATTTCGCAGAAGCAGCATGCCGACTATCTCTGATGATCCATGACATACAGCGAGCATGAGAGCTGTGCTAAAATAACAAAGAGATAACTTCATTATTATGAGCAGAACCAATTTAATATGTGCCTGTCAATGTAGAATTAACCATTTACATGTACTAACAAACATAAATATCTTGAGTGCTCAAATGTTTATCCTTGTAAATCACCACGAAGGCTGAAAGGCAGGAGCAAAAAGACTCATGTCCCAATGGGATATGGCATACTAGAATTGACTAATATAAAGTCCTTTGAGGGGCAAGAAATTATGCTCTGTTCACTAATCTAACAGAGGCAAAGATTTAAGTGAAGAATTATCTATTCCTTCCTTAGTCTGATGTAATAGTTTATACTTCAAAATCAGCTAGAAGTCAGACCAGTGACAGCAATCTGAAGGCTTAAAATAATATTAGGAATAATGATATTAGTAGTAGTCATGGTAAGTTTAGTTAATGATGCTGATAAGAATGTATGAGACCCTGAATTAAATGCTGTTGATATTCATAATGTTACTTCAATGCAATCATCCTTAAAGGACATATTATTATTCTCTTTTTCATATAGAAAATCATACCTGGTATTAAGTAATGTTTGCAAGGTCACACCTATCAAGTGAGGAAGCTAGAAATTAAACTCAGTCTTGTATGAATCAAAAGCCTCTTTTCTCTTTATTACTCACCTTTGGCTTATCTTAATTAACTAAAATGTTAATCCAATTAAAGATGTATTTCTTCCCTCTACCCATACAAATTAAAAATAAAAATACACTATGAATAAAAAAGGAAAAATAATAATAAATTCACAGTATCTGGTGATAGCAATTAATAGTCACATAGGGATAACCTAAAATTAATATTCTTCAAATGAAACAACTTAAAGCAAACAGTTATCCTAAAGACAAAATGGTTTTAAACTCCTATTTCTATTTAATTTTGCTTTTTTTTCCCTTTGGGACAGAATCTCGCTCTGTTACCCAGGCTGGAGTGTGGTGGCACTATCTCAGCTCATTGCAACTTCTGCCGCCAGGTTCAAGCGATTCTCCTGCCTCAGCCCCCCGAGTAGCTGGGACTACAGGCATGTGCCACCATGCCCAGCTAATTTTTGTATTTTTAGTAGAAACGGGGTTACACCATGTTGGCTAGGCTGGTCTCAAACTCCTGGCCTCAAGTGATCCAACCACCTTGGCCTCTCAAAGTGGTGGGATAACAGGTGACAGTTACCATGCCCAGGAAATACTGCATTTTTTAAAAAGTGTATAAAAAACAGAAGTCAGAAAAATACTATAAAAGTGTTAATCATTCAATATTGAATTATAAAGTAAACTTATTCATACTTCTTAAAACTAATAGAGAACCACTTTAGCTAACAGAAGATAATGCAACCCAAAACATCAGATTACACATAGGAATCAGTCAATATAATAAGAGAAGATAAATCCTACTATATACTGTTCTTTATGTTGACCAGTCAAAATAATTGCTTTTCTTCTGATAATTGGTGTTGATATTTTCACTATAATCTAATAATTTTAAGTAAATGTTATTTAAAATTGTTATTACTCTAGAACAAGTGTTATTACTCTAGAACACTGCACAAGTGTTTTTTAATAAAAAAAGAAATACTATACCATTTAAACCTATTGACTGCATTCGCATTTGCATTTTTTGTCAGTAAAAGTTCCACAATTTGCTCACTTCTTTTCGTTATGGCCAGTAAAAGTGGTGTGAGGCTAGCCTGTAAAATAGCAAAACAATTTAAAATTCAGGAAATTACATATTTCTCAGCTGAACTGAAAACCTTATATAATATCCTATGAACTTAAACACATAAAATAGAAAGTAAGTCAATAGCAGTCCCTTCTTTGTCCCTTTTCTGTGCTTTCCCATGCACTGCACCTTCCCTTGTAAATATTCAGCCTCTGCATCACCATGTTAACTCTGGTTATCTCCAATCATTATATTACAATGATTTTATGGTCTCCCATCTAAACCAAGAGCTTCTTGAGGGCAAGGGCTGTATCTTTTATCTCTATATCCTTAAACCCTAAGACATAGTAGTAAATACTTTGTTTTTGACTAAATTAGTAATCTAAATTGTTACCTCTAAAGCAGTGTTTCTTAAACTATATTCCAAAGAATAATTACCTTACCAGAAGCACGATACCTCAACAGATTCTACCATTATCTATTTTCAAGAAATATTATAAAACTGTGAATTAAATGTCCATTATTCAATAAATGACTTGAGCTTTGACTATTCCTTATTTGACAATATATTTCTGTGGCAGACATTAACATTTGAAAAATTATAATTTCAGGGATACAGATCTGAAAGTTTCCCAAGAAAAATGGAGGTTTCCTCTGGGTAATACAAACTCGCTTGATTCTCTTCTATCAATAATCCCAAGATCCCAGATGCCGATGTCAAGCACACCTGTTCCACATGGGTCACTAAGGAAGTGACTCTAAATTAATAGAGATTGGCTTCAAATGAACTTTGATTGCTTATTATTAAATGGTCCATGGGGTTTCTCCTATTACAAGACAATAGAATTTTATCTCAGCTATTAAAAATTCAGTATGAAAGTTTATTCTCAATTATAATGATAATCCTAAGATTCTAATGCATATCTACTTCTTAAAATGCAACAATCCATTTTTATTCTGGTTTCTATGTAGTTGCTACTTAATTTTTGGCAAAATATCAAAAATATGAATAAAATGACTTATTAATGAAAGTTCTAACTCATCTATATGGATTAGCATAATAGAAGCCACTAAATCACTTGAATTTTAAGGGACAATTCTGAGGAGAAGGATGTAATATTTTCTGCAATAGGCATAACCTATTCAAATATAACCATGATTAATCTTAAAAAGCTTAAAGGCATTTCAATAGAAGATAATTATTTATGGTTTATATACAGAAAAATCATTGTTTAAAAAGTCTTCTAAATTCTTGAAGTCAACCCCATTAGTAATGAACTAATGTAAAATATAAACTATACAAACTATATATTATAAACACCTATCAACTGTCTTGAATACCTTGAAATCTTTACCAAAATATACTATGAAAGAGGAATTGATAACTGAAATATTTGCAGAGGCAAAAGAGATAAGTCAAGTAAGTGATGTAACTAGGTGGGCACAGAAGCAAACTGGAAACATAGGCTTTATGTAAAGCTAGAACGTCTTCATAGTATACCAAACAGTCATATGGGCTCAAGAGACACCAGATTCAATCCTTTAAGAGGAAACCCAGATTTCTGCATATTTCCTAAATTTTACATGTTGACTCAATTTATGCAGGCAAATTTTGCTTTCCTCTAGTTTTACACTAACTGGAAAGAAAAAAAACACTTGTGTGGGAAAGAATATTTGAAAAACTTTTACCTTTAACAAATTCAAATATTTACCATCAATGCACAGAAAAGCCATACTCTCTAATACTTCTTGTAAAAACATAAATATTTAAAGTAAAATCTTAGACAATTAACTTCTTTCAAGATATTTTCATTCAAGGAATGTTTGAGCTTCCAAATATAAAAAACCGTACACATGTTAATGTTAAAACAAATTGATTTCAAATATTTTGAAAATAACACTGGTTAATGTCTACCTTGTTTTGCGTTTCGACGACTGCACCGTGGGACAGCAGTTTTGCCACCACTGACAAATCCTTATTATAAACAGCATAATGGAGAGCTGTGTTGCCATACACATCTACAATATTTAGATTGGCACCAGAGTCTACCAGAATATTTGCACAATCCTCACTCTGGCATTGTAGAGCCTGTCAGTATTAAAGCAAGAATTATTATAAACTAAATAATTTATAATATAAATTATAAAGAATATAAATTATAAAGTATAGGAAATCAAAATAAATATTCTGCAGGTTTCAAAACTAGTTGTATTTCAATGAGATAAATTCATTTTTATTCTATGTATTTAAACTAAATCTATCTCCTGCTGAAAAAAATTGGCTACTGTTTACCTTCATCAGAGGTGTCCTGTTTTCACCATCAAGGACGTCAAGCTGGCACTTTCTGTCTACCAGAAATGTTACTACTTCCGCATGGCCGTTGACACAGGCCCAGTGTAGAGCAGTCCTATGAGAGTGAGAGGACTTGTTGGCAAAGTTTAGTCCACTGTCTCAAAACATACAATTATTTATGTAATTATAAACATTAAATGCCATGCTCTTTTTCTGCCTTCAAAACAAATATTTAATATTCTCCTGAAGAAAGTACAGCATTCATTTGCTCTCGTTACTCACTACATTAATGAAAGAGTGGCCCATCTGAATAGAAAGAGCTTGGTCTTCGGATTCAGTTCAACTTGGGCTTGAATATTACTTTAAGGTCTTTCACTTTCTAGCTGTCACTTAAACTTTCTGCACCTCAATTTTCTCATCAATGAAATGAAGATGAATACAGCAGTTATCTCACAGGTTATCACTATGATGCCTCAATGAGAATCTATGCAAAGTATTTTGGAGAGTTCCTAGCACATGTAACAGCTCGGTAATTGTTAGATACTATAATTATTACTACTGCTTAACAAAGACAACATTTTAAGTAAAATGGTGCAATTATGCCTACTTTGTGGTGTGTTTTAAAGGTTAGATATAACATTGTGTTTTAATGATTCTAAGATGCTCAATTTCTCATATTTTAACATTTCTGATTGAAATGCCACTTATAATTCATTATTTATTACCACTATGTTTGGCAGAAATTTAAACAATCTTTTACTGGTGCACAAAATAAGGAGGCATCACACAATTCACAGTGCCTTCCAAGAAGTGGAATATAGTATATACAACAGGACAAGGGCAGTCCTAGTCACAGGATTAACACTGAAAAAAATTTTAGCCTTTTAGAGTACTAAGCAAAAGGAGAGTTGACATAAAAACAACAAATTATTAAAACACAGTACTTCTTTAATATTTTAAAAGCTTCAAGCCAAAGGAAACTTGGGATTCAAATAGATAGGTATGGTTCATCTAATTCTGTATTTACATTTATAGAATGTATGTAAATTCTATTTAGATTTATAGAATACATGTAAATTAGGTATTTCCAATGATTAATATTGCTATTTAAAGCTATTATAAATTTCCAAAATTACTAGTTTCTCACTTCAGAAGTGTTTTTGTTTGAAAGATGAGAGGAAAAGCTTCAATTGAGATTCAATCCTAATACTCCAATTTTAAATCTCTCACTTTGCTCTGGCTGAGCAAGTAAGTGTGAAATTTTTAAGGATGAAAGGGTCTTGAGAGTTAGAATGTATCTTCTACATAATAGGCATTCAGCTTACATGCGATAAATGGATTAAAAGAATGGATCAATACAGTTGGGAAGTTCAGTATCTTAAAAAACTGCTATAAAAAAAGCACTTATATTTGCTCTTTTATTTTTCTAATAACACTACACTAAAGTGATTAATCTATAGTTATTGACATATGTAATAAATCTATATAATAAAAATGTGTCCAATAAAATATGTAAATCAATAAGCACAGATAAAAAGATTATCTTCTGAAGATGCTAAAAGTTCACAGAACATACTAATCCACAAAAAATAAAAATTAAAATATAGAAAGCAAGAAAGTATTTTATCTGTGTAAAATTCATATTGCTGCTCCTCCCAAAAATTATTTTATTAATAATAAACTTTTACTAATAGCATTGTCCATGCTCAATGCAGAAATCAAAGATAATAAAAAGGAAAAACATTTTATATAAAAACAAATGTCCTTAACAAATTTTATATTTTGTACATAATTTCAGATAACACAAGACCATAGTCTGTGTGTATGTATAATCAAACTGAACTTTACTTTACCCTCACTTAGTATACCAAAATACATTTTCAAATGTCAACATATTTCTGAATATATTTCTACCTTGAGTGATCACATATTATCCCATGCTGTAAACTCACTGAAATGTATTTATAAAAGCCATTAAATGGATTTTTAATGCATTGATATTTCAAGCAGTGCTCAGAAAAGAAATTGTGTGTATGTTTCATTATTTTCTAAAAATATTTTTGTGTAATAGAATTGACCACTAATGGGCATATACAATTTTTAAAATATGGTACTTACCATCAAATTGTCTATTTGAAAAGTCATCTGCAACTTAAACTTTAAGGAGTACTATAAATATCACTGCTTTTTATCCGCACAAACTTTGTGGATAGAGAACAGTATTTGACTCCTTTTTTAACTTAAATGCCTTCCCTAACCGGGAACACTAAATATTGTTTGCTTTGGCCATAGGTCTTACCAGATCTCAAAAGGACTTTGCCCAATTTTAGAATTACAGGCCATTACTTTTTAGGTCTACAATTTAAATCTCTAATTTAAATTGCCAATTTTTAAATTAGAGGATTTTGTTGATTTGAGTGAATTCTGTATAAAATGAAGAGTTTTAAATCTAACATATATACACACACACATACATGTATAGTAAATATTTTACAAGTATGCTGCAGCACATTGTTTCTCTACATATACAGGGTGGTTTAATTTTTGTTTTACTAAATTGCCCTTCAGAATGCTTGCTTCTGACATTCTTAGAAAGGTTTTGTCAACATAAAAAATATATCTGTGCATAAAGAAATAGGCATATGTTTTCTTCTAATTTTATCATTTTGTACACTAAAAACTTTTAATCTATCTTCCATCGGGAACTTATTTTCTGGCATTAAAATCTAATTTTCTCCAAAAAGCAGGCATTTTACTTAGGAAACTAATTCTTTTCCTACTAGTATAAAGTGTGACCATTACCAAGTTCTAAATTCTTACATATGTTTGGGTGTTTCTGGATTTTCTATTCTGTCATATTAATTTACCTGTCTTCTCAGTAGTAAACAATTTGTGATTTTTTCTTTTCTTTTCTTTTTTTTTTTTTTTTTTTTAGAGAGAGAGAGTTTCTCTGTCACCTAGGCTGAATTGCAGTGGTGGGATCTCGGCTCACTGTAATCTTCACCTACCGGGTTCGCGACTCCTGTGCCTCAGCCTCCCAGTAACTGGGATTACAGGCACCCGACATCATGCCTGGCTAACTTTTGTGATTTTGTAAGAGATGGTGTTTCACCTTATTGGCCAGGCTGTTCTTGAACTCCTGACCTCAGGTGATCCACTAGCCTCAGATGCCCAAGTGCTGGGATTACAGGCGTAAGCCACGCGCCCGGCCATCTTGTGCAAGTTAATAGCGCATTTTGGTATCTAGAAGGGCAAGATTTTTCTACTCTATTACAAAATATGTAAAATGTCATCACAATAGTAAAAGCCTGTGTAATTCAAAAATGTTAAATGTTGATAACTTTATTTGGTTTATGTAAAATTGATAAAGAATTCGCATCTTAAGAAAAATCAGTCTTCTTAAATTCAAGAACATAAACCATCTTCCCACCTCAAAGTTTCCTTCTAAGGTCCCTCAGCAAAGAACATATTTACATAGACATTCATTGATATCAAAATGGATATTGGACTTTATCCAAAGAATGTTTAGCCAAGTACATATATTGTGGGAATTATTTCATTATACCATTTCATAGTAGTAGCTAACATTATCTTTTAAAGCATGCATTAAAGTAAAACCCTGTATAATACTTAATTTTGTGAGTTAAATCATTAAAATTCTCTACACAGTGCTCTGTGAGAGGAAGTAGGAGTGAAGGAGAAAGCAGCTAAAGTTTGGGGTTGATTTTAAGGTGGCCTGGGCCTTCTGCCCAGCAAGTGCCCCATCCCAGGCCTGGGAGCCTGCCGGGAGAAGCCTGAACCCTGGGGCCCAGGGTGCCGCCGCCGCCAGCCATTCCTCCACGGCTCCTTCCTCCCAGGCCCCCAGCCCCGACTCTGAAGGGAAATCCTCCTCACAGCCACCATCTCCTTCAGCCCCGGCTCAAGCAAGGGCCTGAGTACCTCTTCCTGGCGTCTTTATTAAGGTTGATGGTCTTCTTCTTCAATGTCATCTTCACCCAACGTTGAGACTTGGCCAGGAGGCAACTTTATGGATCTTTCCTAAGTTCCCGATACTGGATGATCTGGAATTGTTGGTGTACACTAGCTGGCTGAAGGGCTCGAGGCTCTGGCCCGTGGGCAAGTCATTGCCACCGACTGGAGAGAGAGCCACTGCATGGCTACGACAACCTGCTAGAGAGCCGCGCCTCGGATCGCCCTCCCCCAAACCCCTCCGTTGGCCCTGGCTTCCCGCTAGCCTTCCACAGCCACCACCCTCCCACCCGATCGTCACTTACCCTTCTTCAGTCCACGCAGTCAAATACCAGTAAAAAGTTCTGTTTCGCCAAGCTCTTGCACACTCAGGCCTCTCAGCAGAAGCGCGCAGAGCAGAGCCGTTAGCCAACAGCGCATGCGCAGCTCCCAGCTGAGCTGAGGAGACACGCGCCTGGCCCCACGTTCCCAGGCACCGCGTGCAGGTGGCAACTGCGCTGAGCACTTCCGTGTTAGCGGAGCCTCCTTGGAACGGAACATGGGGGCGCCATGCCCACATGGCCTGCTTGACATAGCCACTCCCGGCCCCTCCTCGACCTGCGATCCAGGAGCTGGACCCTGGCACTGGGCAGTGCAGCCTCTGGGTGGCACTGAGGGTCGGTTCCCGCCCTCCTGCAGTCAGGGACCCACCCCCTGATTTAGGCGCCCCAGGGCTTCTGGCCCAAGGATTCGCGCTGCTGGTGGCGCTGACAGTGTCAGGGTTGCAGCCTGTTGTGCGTGCCATGTTCAGGTACGGAGAGCTGTACCTGAGTCCATGGTGAGCTAATTTTGTATTTTTTTAGTAAAAACGGGGTTTCTCCATGTTGGTCAGGCGGGTCTGGAACTCCTAGGCTCAGGCGATCTGCCCAGGATCGCACAGTCCTGATCCCAGGACAGATTGCCTGAGCCTGAGAGTTTGCTGTCTGACCAACATGGAAGAAAATCATCTCTATTAAAAAAATACAAAAAATTAGCCGGGCATGGTAACATTCCTGTAATCCCAGCTACTAGGGAGGCTGGGGGCAGGAAAATAGCTTGGACCCAGAGGCGGAGGGTTGCAGTGAGCCGCCCATGGAACATGGGCGCCACATACTCACAGCCACGCCTGGAAATAGCCACTCCTGGCCCCTCCTCGACCTGCGATCCAGGAGCTGGACCCTGGCGCTGGGCACGCTGCAACCTCTGGGGTGGCACTGAGCGACTGTTCCACCCTTCTGCAGCGGGGACCCACCCTGACTTAGGCCCCCTGGAGGTTTCTGGCTCAGGCTCACGCTGCTGGTGGCGGCGGCAGGGACGAGAGGGCGAGCCACCACAGATGCGATGTATTCCTTTCTGATGAATAAATTGACTGGGTGCCGAATTTATCATCAGGAAAATATGGATTACTTCACTAAACCATTTCCCAAACCTCTCCTCTCGATTGCTCTGCCTTGGTTACTTTTTTTTTTTTTTTTTTTTTTTGAGACAGAGTCTCGCTCTGACTGCCCTGGACTGGAGCGCAGGCGCAGTCTGAGCTAACTGCAACCTCTGCCTCCCGGGTTCAAGCAATTCTCCTGCCTCAGCCTCCCAAGTAGCTGGGATTACAGGTGTGTGCCACCACGCCCAGCTAATTTTTGTATTTTTAGTAGAGACAGGGTTTCATCATGTTGGTCAGGCTGAGTCTTGCTCTGATCTCACAATCCACCTGCCTCGGCCTCTCAAAGTGCTGGGACTACATGACAAGCAGCATTAAACCACCGTGCCCCGCTCTAATTTTTTTTTTTTTTTTTTTTTTTTGGAGGCAGAGTTTCGCTCTGTCACCCAGGTTGGAGTGCAGCGGCGCTTGTTCTCGGCTCCCTGCAAGCTCCCGGCGTCCTGGAGTTCACGCCATTCTCCTGCCTCAGCCTCCCAGAGTAGCTGGGACTACAGGTGCCTGCCAGCCTGAGCTGGCTAAATTTTTGTATTTTTTGTAGAGACAGGGTTTCACTGTGTTAGCCAGGATAGTCTCATTTCTGGCGTGATCCGCCCGCCTGCCTCAGCCTCCCAAAGTGCTGGGATTACAGGCAGGCCACTGTGCTGGCCAATTTCTTTTTTCTTTTCTTTTCTTTTTTTTTTTTTTTTTTCTTGAGATGAGTTTCTCTCTTGTCACCCAGGCTAGAAGGCAATGGTGTGATGGGCTCACTGAAGCCTCAGCCTCCCAGGTTCAAGTGATTCTCCTGCCTCAGCCTCCTGAGTAGCTGGGATTACAGGCATGCCACCATGCCGGCTAATTTTAATATATACATATGTATATTTTTTTAGTAGAGACAGGGTTTCTCCATGTTGGTCAGGCTGGTCTCAAACTCCCAACCTCAGGTGATTCACCTGCCTCGGCCTCTGAAAATGCTGGGATTACAGGCATGAGTCACCACCGCCTGGCCAGTTACTTTTGCAATTTAAGTAACATAAATGCTGGCTGGGCACAGTGGCTGTATACTCCCAGCACTTAGAGGCGAGGCCAGTGGACCACACTTTAGGAGTCGAAGTCGAGACCAGCCTGGCCAACATAGGTGAAATTTATCTCTACTAATCATACAAAAATTAGCTTCTACTAAACATACAAAAATTAGCTTGCAGCCTGGCGCGGTGGCTCAGGTCTGTAATCCCAGCACTTTGGGAGGCCGAGGCGGGCAGGTCACCTGAAGTCAAGAGTTGGAGACCAGCCTGGCCAACATGGCAAAACCCTGTCTGTACCAAAAATATTCCGGCGTGGTGCTGCCTACCTGCAATCAGCTACTAGAGGCTGAGGCAGGGAACTCATGAGCAGAGCAGGGGTTGCAGTGAGTGGAGATCAAGCCATTGCACTCCAGACTGGGCAACAGGCGGACTGCTTCTCCAAAACAGAAGTCCCCTTTAAAAATAAAAATAAAAAAAAAAAGTCTAACAAATTGTAGAGACTACATTTCATTAATTTGCAGTGTTTTCTTTGTTAGTTTACACTAAAATTTAATTATTTATTCCAGAATAGGCTAGAAAGGTATAATGCGCTCTCTTTTCCATTGGAGATGAAAAATACGAATGATTATTCTTGGCTCCTTCAGAGTCCTTGAAGATCTTGGATCTTCTGAAGGAACTCACAATTTCTGTTCTTCTGACTTATATCCTAAGTGGGGGTGATTCTTACCAGTTAAGCATCAGTAAAATGACCAAAATAACTATAACGTGAAGAAGGGTTAATAACTAAAAACATATTCAAACATACACCAGCACCACTAAGACCTTGATCAACAAAAGGACAAAGAAAATGAATGCACTTTTAACACATACATATGTATACATGGGACTATATTCTTTTCACTAGTAAACGATTAAAGACATGCTAATATAAAAAACAGTAAATGAACCATCCTACACTATTAAAGGGGCATAAGAAAGGAATATGATGGTCAGTTAATAATACTACCAAAGGCATACTAATATTTTCTAGGGCATTGTAAATTAGCATAGTGCTTTCTGGAGGAAATCTGTCAATATGTTTTTAAAAATAAAAGGATTTAATTCTCTTTGATCTACTGGCTTATGCTTTGGAATTTATTCTAAGGAAATTGTTCAAATAAACAAAAATATACATAAATGAAATTATTTGTTGCATTATTATTTTCAATAGGGAGAAATTAGAAATTACTTAAATTCATCATAGAAATGTGGATAAATGATAGACTATCAACTTAGGGAAACATATTGTATTCTTAGCCAGTCACGGTGAAAGCTAGTGCCTGTAATCCCATCACTCTGGGAAGCAGAGGCGGGTGGATCACTTGAGGTCAGTAGTTCTGAGACCAGCTGTAGCCAGCATTTGAGTGACCGGTCTCTACTAAAAATACAAAAATTATCTGCACGTGGTGCACGCGCCTGTAGTCCCAGCTACTTAGTAGGCTGAGGCAGGAGAATTGCTTGAACCTGGGAGCTGGAGGTTGCACTGAGCCAGGATTGTGCCACTGCACTCTAGCTGGGAGGACAAAGTGAGAACCCATCTCAAAAAAAAAAAAAAAAAAAAAAAAAAAAGAAACATATTGTGTTCTCTCTTAGAAAGGGTAGATGAATGGAAAAGTATTAATAATGAAAATAACTAAAGAATTGGACTTATAAACTATGGAATTATAACTAGTATTTGAAAATATGTACAGATCTACAATTCTTCACATGGAATTACAAAATTCAACATTTATGAATACCTAAACATAAGTTTGGTAAAATCTGATCTATGCTGATGTAGGGGTATTTATAGTCTTATTTTTTTAGACAGAGTTTTTGCTCTGTTGCCCAGGCTGGAGTGCAATGGCGCAATCTCGGCTCAGTGCAACCTCCACCTCTTGGATTCAAACAATTCTCTTGCCTCAGCCTCCCGTGTAGCTGGGGATTAAGGCACCTGCCACACACTCAGCTAATTGTTAATGAGACAAGTTTCACCATGTTGGCCAGGCAGGTCTCAAATTCCTGACCTCAGGTGATCCACCCACCTCAACCTCCCAAAGTGCTAGGATTACAGGTGTGAGCCACGCACCCAGCCAGGGTAGTCTTCCTGCTCCCAGTTCATGTGATTATTCATATGATTTGCCACTAGAATATTCATAATATGCAGTATATTTATCATTACCTTTCACAAAAAAATCTAAATATTTTGAATTGTGATTTCAAAGAAATCTGACTTTGAAATCTTAGTTTGAAATCTGATCCTAACGATTTCAGATAAGCTATTGGAAAATATTACAAATGACAAAAATTGTGCATTAAAGATTATTAAATTGTTGAGATTAATTTAAGTCACCTTGCAGCCCAGTGTAGTGGTTCATGCCTGTAATCCCAGCACTTTGGGAGGCTGAGGCAGGTGGATCACGAGGTCAAGTGATCGAGACCATCCTGGCCCAACACGGTGAAACCCCATGTGTACTAAAAACACAAATATTAGCTGGGCATGGTGACTTTCGCCTGTAGTCCTAGCTACTCGGGAGGCTGAGGCAGGAGAATCGCTTGAACCCAGGAGGCAGAAGTTGCAGCGAGCCAAGATCGCATCACTGCACTCCAGCCTGGTGACAGCAAGACTCCATCTCAAATAAATAAATAAATAAATAAATAAATAAATAAATAAATAACTTCATATCACTTAAGGGTTAAATTTTTAAAAAAACTTTTTGTAAAATATATGTATGTTAGTATTATTAGTTCTTATAATTTCATCAATGTGAGGCATAAATAAAATTTGTTAAGTTAAAACTTTCATTATACATTCATTCATTCATTCATTTATTTTCAGACAGAGTTTCGCTCTATCATCCAGGCTGGAGTACAGTGGCATGATCTCGGCTCACTGAAATCTCACCTCCCAGAGTAAGCAATTCTCGTGTCTCAGCCTCCCAAGTAGCTGGGACTATAGGCATACACCACCATGCCCGGCTAATTATTAAAAGTCCTGTAGAACATTTAGAGTTCTGGGATTATTTTTGTTTATTTAGAGACAGGGTCTCACTGTATCACCAGGCTGAGGGTGCAGTGATGTGATCATAGCTCACTGCCAGCCTTGAACTCCTGGGAAAAGCAATTCTCTCACCTCAACAACCCCAGTGGCTAGGACTAAGGTGCTTGCCACAACGCCCAGCTAGTTTTTAAGGCTTCTGTAGAGATAGGTGTCACTATGTTGCAGTCTGGTTTCAAACTCCTGGGCTCAAGGGATCCTCCCAACTTGGCCTCCCAAAGTGTTAGGATTACAGGTGTGAGCCACCATACCAG